CAGCCCCTCACAGCCCTCACAGCCCCTCACAGCCCCTCACAGCCCCTCACAGCCGGCACAGAAGACTGGCCACTTTCTACAGTCACATTGTTGCCTTGATTCAGAAAGGCTGGCGCGGGCTCTTCTTTTGTAAGTGTGAACTTTCTTCCTAATTAACACACCAACATGCAAGTCAGAAAAGTGATTATCTAAGAGATGTGTGCTTTCAGGGGTTAAAGCTTCACACAGTTTGGGGCTAGGAGGTTCAGAAGTGATAATTTCGGCTTTCAGACCGAATCAGGTCGAATGAATTCTGGGTCATTCTGACATGTCTCTTCTTCGTATTCAGCCACACATCCGAGACCACATTTTACTTATACGTGACAGAAATACATACAGCCGGAAGATTCTGGCCGAAGCTAGACATGCGGGCGTCCCCAGCTACACAAAGACATTCACACACGCTGAGAGTCACCCAGATGTTCATCACACACGAATGTGCAATTGCACGCTGGCACGGGCAAAGATGCGACCAGATACACAAGACACAGCTGGGTCCAGAGAGAAATCCACAAACAAGACACGTTCAGGAAGGACACTCAGACCCCCAACCGCAGACCCAGATCGATGACCACACACGTCCAGGCACAGCAGGGCACACAGGCTGAGGGCAGGCACAAAGCCACATCAGGCAGCTGGCCACGCAGTCAGGCCCAGCAGGGCAGGAAGGGGCCCACCTCCACGTGGGTGAGGGTTTCCTGTAAAGGCTGAGCTAGCTGGCTGGAGCACTAACCCACCTGTGCCTCCAACCCAGAACCGCATGAAGGAGAGCCTGGCCTTGTTCGGCACCATCCTGGAGCTGCCCTGGTTCAAAAGCACATCGGTCATCCTCTTCCTCAACAAGACCGACATCCTTGAGGAGAAGATCTCCACCTCCCACCTGGCCACCTACTTCCCCAGTTTCCAGGGTGAGTGGTTCTAGGGCTTTCTACAAGCGTCACTTCCCAAAAACAGCTCCCAAGAGAAAAGCTAGTCCAGGTCTTACACCAGCCTGGAGTCACTGGGGCTTCGAATAGGACTTAGGGTCAGACAGACCTGAGTTCCAGGCCCAGCTGCTTCCCCTGCCTAACCTCCCTTGGCCTTAGTTTTTCCACCTGTAACATGGGGATAAAACAGCAGAATTCCACTTAGGTCATCCAGTTTAAAGTGAGGAATTAGTATATATATACTTGTAGTATGCCATTGAATCGCTTATGGCTCAGAGCAACACCATATACATACAGTGAAACCTGTGAGAGCCGGAACTCGACAGGACTGCCTTGTTTTTCTGGGTCTCGCAAGTTTTCTGCCTTTGACAGGGTACAGTCTTACCTCTTTTCTGTCTGCGTCTGTCAGTGGAAAATATTTGAGTTTTCCTTTTCTGACAGTTTTCTGCCTTACACAGCTTCCGGCTGTCACAGGTTTTACTGTGTGTATGTGTGTGTGTGTATACATTGGAGCTCTAGCGGCCCAGTGGTTAAGCTGCTAACCAAAGGGTCAGCAGTTGGAATCCACCAGGGCTCTTCGGAAACCCTATGGGGCAGTTCTACTCTGTCCTATAGGGTCGCTAGAAGTAGGAATCGACCTGACAGCAAGCAGTTAATGTTTCCTTTAATTGTGTATTAATCAAGACAAGTACAACTGGCATAAACAGGTTGGGGATCAAATCTTCAGTTCAACCAGAAGGGCAGAGGGCCCAGGTCAACTGCGGAGGCGCACGGTAAATGTTGGGTTGTTGTCGTTGTTGGGCGCCGTCAAGTCGATTCTGACTCAGACCCCATGCGACAGAGTAGAAATGCCCCAGTAGGGTTTCCTAGGCCGTAATCTTTACAGGAGCAGATCACCAGGCCTTTCTCCTGCAGTGCCGCTGGGTGGGTTTGAACCACCAACCTTTCAGCTAACAGCTGAGCTCTTAACAGTTGGGCCAGCAGGGCTCCTCAAGTGTTGGCACCCTTTAGTATATTTTACAGAGGGGATGTAGGTTTTTGGTTAATCCAGGGACATGGGTAGGAAAGGTATGTATTAGCTAGCACCTTGCTCAGACAGCCACTCTGAGGATCCAGTGAGGTGGTAGAAAGATCCCAGTTACCCCTCACTGAGGTTACAAACCTAGTGGCTTAAACCAAACAAAAAACCTAAATCCGTTGCCTTCGAGTTGATTCCAACTCATAGCGACCCCATGTGTGTCAGAGTAGAACAGTGCTCCATAGGGTTTTCTTGGCTGTCATCTCTACAGAAGCAGATCACCAGGCCTTTCTTCCGTGGTGCTGCTGGGTGGGTGTGAACTGCCAACCTTTCAGTCAGTAGTCACCACCCAGAGGCCTTACCTTAGTGGCTTAAAAAACACCCATTTTACTCACGATTTTGTGGGTCAGGCTTTTGGGAAGGGTTCAGCTGGGTAAATTCGTCTCTGATGTATCCACACAAAATCAGCTGGGGTGGCTAGGATTGGAGATATCTTTCCAAGACAGCTTTTCTTCCTCTATACGTCTGGTGCCTTGGTGTGCCTTGGTGTGTGTTTCTCTTCCTGTCTTTGTCTCTTTCTCTCCATTCGGTGTCTCAAATCCAGCGCGTCTTCGTGGAGCTTGGGCTTCCTCACAGCATGGCGGCCTCAGGGTAGTCAGTACATGGCAGCTGGCTCCCCCTAGAGCTAACAGGGACTCGTTAACTCTCATTCAAACTCTATGCAGTAGGAATTATTCTTCTCACCGTCATATAGATGGGGAAACTGAGGCACGGAGTGGCGCGATCATTTGCCAAAAATCATACAGCCAGTCAGTGGTAGAGGCTGGATTTGAAGCCAGGCTATCTGAATCTGGAGCCTTCCACCCTTAACCATTAGGCTACCCTGCCTTTCCGAAATAATGATGATCACACATAATCACAAAAGCTTGTGACAATTGAACACGAAGTCCTCTACATGATCGCGTTGTACCTTCACCACAAGGCTACGGGGCTCAGGACTGTAACAATCGCCATTTTACAAATGAGAAAACTGAGCCTCAAAGAGGTAAACACGAGTTATACGAGGTAACTCAGCCAGGAGCCCTGGTGGTGCAATGGTTAAGTGCTCAGCTGCTAACCGAAAGGTTGGTAGTTCGAGCCCACCAGTGGCTCAATGGGAGAAAGACCTAGTAATCTGCTGTCATAAAGATTGCTGTTGTTAGGTGCCAGCAAGTCAGTTCTGACTCATAGTGATCCTATGTACAACAACAAAACAGTGCCCAGTTCTGCGTCATCCCCACAATCACTTATGTTTGAGCCCATTTTTTGCAGTCACTGTGTCAATCCATCTCGCTGAGGGTCTTCCTCTTTTTCGCTGACCCTCGACTTTAATAAGCATGATGCCTTTCTTCAGGGAATGCTCCCTCCTGATAACATGTCCAAAGTATGTGAGACGAAGTCTCGCCATCCTTGCTTCTAAGGAGCATTCTGGCTGAACTTCTTCCAAGACAGATTTGTTCATTCTTCTGGCAGTCCATGGTGTATTCAGTATTCTTCGCCGACACCATAATTCAAAGACATCAATTCTTCTTCAGTTTTCCTTATTCATTGTCCAGCTTTCCCATGCATATGAGGCAATTGAAAATATCATGGCTTGGGTCAGGCACACCTTAGTCCTCAAAGTGACTTTTTGCTTTTTAACAGTTCAAGAGGACTTCTGCAGCGGATTTGCCCAATGCAATACGTTGTTTGATTTCTTGACTGCTGCTTCCATGGGTGTTGATTATGGATCCAAGTAAAATGAAATCCTTGACAACTTCAATCTTTTCTCCATTTATCATGATGTTGCTTATTGGTCCAGTTGTGAAGATTTTTGTTTTCTTTATGTTGAGGTGTAATCCATACTGAAGGCTGTGGTCTTTGATCTTCATCAGTAAGTGCTTCAAGTCCTCTTCACCTTCAGCAAGCAAGGTTGTGTCATCTGCATATTGCAGGTTGTTAATGAGTCTTCCTCCAATCCTGATGCCCCGATCTTCTTCATATGGTCCAGCTTCTCGGACTATTTGCTCAGCAGACAGATTGAATAAGTATGATGAGAAGATACAATCCTGACGCACACCTTTCCTGACTTTAAACCACGCAGTATCCCCTCGTTCTGTTCGAACGACTGCCTCTTGATCTATGTATAGGTTCCACATGAGCACAATTAAGGGTTCTGGAATTCCCATTCTTCACAATGTTCTCCATAATTTGTTATGATGCACACAGTCAAATGCCTTTGCATAGTCAATAAAACACAGGTAAACATCTTTCTGGTATTCTCTGCTTTCAGCCAAGATCCATCTGACATCAGCAATGATATCCCTCATTCCATGTCCTCTTCTGAATCAGGCTTGAATTTCTAGTGGTTTCTTGTCAATGTGCTGCTGTAACTGTTTTTTAATTATCTTCAGCAAAATTGTACTTGTGTGTAATATTAATATTGTTCAATAATTTCCACATTCGGTTGGATCACCTTTCTTTGGAATGGGCACAACTATGCATCTCTTCCAGTGAGTTGACCAGGTAGCTGTCTTCCAGATTTCTTGGCATAGTCGAGTGAGCACTTCCAGCGCTACATCTGTTTGTTGAAACATCTCAATTGGTATTCCGTCAATTCCTGGAGCCTTGTTTTTTGCCAATGTCCTCAGTGCAGCTTGGACTTCTTCCTTCAGTACCATCGGTTCTTAATCATATGCTACCTGCTGAAATGGTTGAACATCAAGCAATTCTTTTTGGTTCACTGACTCTGTGTACTCCTTCTGTCTTCTTTCGATTCTTCCTTCATCATTCAATATTTTGCCCACAGAATCCTTCAATACTACAACTCAAGGCTTAAATATTTTCTTCAGTTCTTTCAGCTTGAGAAATACCAAGCATATTCTCCTCTTTTGGTTTTCTAACTCCAGGTCTTTGCACATTTCATTATGATACTTTACTTTGTCTTCTCAAGCTGCCCTTTGAAATCTTCTGTTCAGCTTTTTTACTTCATCATTTCTACTATTTGCTTTAGCTACTCTACGTTCAAGTTTCAGAGTTTCTTCTGACATCCAGTTTGTTTTTTTTTCTTTCTTTCCTGTCTTTTTAATGACTTCTTACTTTCTTATGTATGATGTCCTTGATGTCATCCAATAACTCATCTGGTCTTTGGTCATTAGTGTTCAATGTCTCAAATCTATTCTTGAGATGGTCTCTAAATTCAGGTGGGATATACTCAAGGTTGTACTTTGGCTCTCGTGGACTTGTTCTAATTTTCTTCAGCTTCAGCTTGAACTTGCATATGAGCAATTGATGGTCTGTTCCTCAGTCGGCCCTTGGCTTTGTTCTGACTGATGATATTAAGCTTTTCCTTCATCATTTTCCACAGATATAGTCGATTTGATTCCTGTGTATTCCACCTGGTGAGATCCACGTGTATAGTCAGCATTTATGTTGTTGATAAAAGGTATTTGCAGTGAAGATGTCATTGATCTTGCAAAATTCTATCACGCGATCTCCAGAATCATTTCTATCACCAAGGCCTTATTTTCCAACTATTGATCCTTCTTTGTTTCCAACGTTCTCATTCCAGTCACCAGTAATTATTAACACATCTTGATTGCATGTTTGATCAATTTCAGACTGCAGAAGTTGGTAAAAATCTTCAATTTCTTCATCTTTGGCCTTAGTGGTTGGTGTGTAAATTTGAATAATAGTCGTATTAACTGATCTTGCTTGAAGGTGTGTGAATATTATCCTATCACTGACAGCGTTGTACGTCAGGATAGATCTTGAAATGTTCTTTTGATGATGAATGCGACACCATTCCTCTTCAAGTTGTCATTCCCGGCATAGTAGACCATATGATTGTCCGATTCGAAATGGCCAGTACCAGTCCATTTCAGCTCACTAATGCCTAGGATATCAATGTTTAGGTGTTCCATTTCATTTTTGACAACTTCTAATTTCCCCAGGTTCACACTTTGTACACTCCACGTTCGGATTATTAATGGATGTTTGCAACTGTTTCTTCTCATTTGGAGTTATGCCACATCAGCAAATGAAGGTCCTGAAAGCTTGACTCCATCCATGTCATTAAGGTTGACTCTGCTTTGAGGAGGCAGCTCTTCCCGAGTCATATTTTGAGTGCTTCCCAACCTGAGGGGCTCGTCTTCCGGCACTATATCAGACAATGTTCTGTTGCTATCTATAAGGTTTTCACTGGCCAATTTTTTCAGAAGTAGACAGCCAGGTCCTTCTTCCTAGTCTGTCTTAGTCTGGAAGCTCAACTGAAACCTGTCTGCCGTGGGTGACCCTGCTGGTATTTGAAATACAAGTGGCATAGCTTCCAACATCACAGCGATATGCAAGGCACCACAGTACAACAAACTGACAGACACATGATGGCCCATAAAGACTACAGCCCAGCAATCCCTGTGGGGCCATTCCGCACTGTCACAGAGGGTCACTATGAGTCAGAAAGCACTCAGCAGCACCCAACAACAACAGTCAGTTACAGAGTAAGACCTGGGACTCCAAAAGCCCCTAATTCACATTGCGTTTTCAACACGTACGTAATGACTGTTCCTATGAGCTTCACCAGGGAGCCACTCAAGCTGCCTTTGGGGACTCCCCTTCCCTTCCCTTGGCCTCAGATTCCCCTCTGCGTAGTACTGGGATGTCTCTTTGTGCCACTTCAGGCTCCCCCGCAACCCCAGCACCACAATTCTGCCCAAAGTCCCAAAGCAAAACCCCATTGGGCCATCTCAGGTCATGTGACTTCCTGAACCAGCTGATGCTCCCATTGGCTGGACCCAGTCATGTGACCAGCTGTAAAACCAAGAGGTGGCGTCAACCCACTGGAACTTTGGTCAGAGTTCTTGTTGGGGCGCATCCAGCCCTGGTGCTTTGGTTATGGAAAAGGGGCGCCCCTCGTGGTACCTTCTCCAGCGCTCCCCACGCCACATATCCTGACCGCCTCTCATCCTTTCCCCCAGGCCCCAAGCAGGATGCTGAGGCAGCCAAGAGGTTCATCCTGGACATGTACATCGGCATGTACATGGGCTGTGCGGAAGACGCCATAGGCAGCAAAAAATGCCCGCGCTCCCGCCGCCTCTTCAGCCACTACACGTGCGCCACGGACACGCAGAACATCCGCAAGGTCTTCAAAGACGTGCGGGACTCCGTGCTCGCCCGCTACTTGGACGAGATCAACCTGCTGTGACCCAGGCCTAGTCCCTCCGGAGCTGAGACCTGCCCTGCGGCCAGGGGCGCGCGCGGGGCAGCCCGAGGGCTCCGCTGGACCTCAAAGCCCCTTGTCAGTCTAGGCCCGGGTGGCAGGAGAGCCTCGATCGAGCAAGTCGGAGGTGGAAGACTGGTGGCCGCCCCTCTCTGCCTTTCACCAGGACAGTTCACTCTTCCTTGACTTAGTTTCCCTGCTTGGAAGGGAAGCAAAATGGCCATTTGGAATGCCAGAGGGGGGGAAAGGGTTTAAAACAAAAAAACAGCAGGGGCTCGAGGATTTGAGTAAATGTGTCTCAAGAAGGAGGCTCACCCCCAGGATATCACCTCCTGTGCAGGTCTGGGCCCCCTGGACAGGACGCACCCCCGGGAAGGGAGGCGTGGTCCTTCAGGCCGAGAGACGCGGGCTCTGGCGCCACCTAGCGGACGTCAGAGGCAGCGCAGGGTCTTCCCTTTCCTAGGGGACCAGGAGGCCACCCGGAAACGCTGTCCTTTTCAGCGACCATCCCCCATCCCTCCGTTTTACAGACGAGGAAAGCTGAGGCCCCCAGGCACCCCCTCCTTCCCAGGCTGGGGCCAGGGCGTACTGCATCTCCCATCCTTCTGTATTTATTCCCTCACCTTCTGCGGGGCCCCTTGAAGCATTAAAAAAATGACATTCTGGAAACCTGTGATTTCTTAAGGACCCGGTCGCCAGCATCCTGTTTCCCTCCTGTTTCTTTCTCGGATCGTCTTCCCTGGGGCCAGCGGTTTTGGTGGTCGAGGGGGTGTGGACAGCAATATAGGGAAGGAGGGGAAGTTCTACTTGTTATCCACCCACCTGTGCCGGAGCAGTACCAGAGCTAAGCTGGACTGTGCTCACTCTGAGCCAGGCGGTGGACTCCCAACCGCCCTCCCTGAATGGCGAGACAGTGGCAGACGCTCTGTTGCCACTTCCCCTCCAAATTCCAGCAGCAGCCGCTGCCCAGTTTGGGTGAGGTTGAGGACGATGATAAAGATAGCGCCACTCAGTCTGTCCTACACTGTGGTTCACGTCTCCCACCACCTCAGGACTGCCGCATGACGTCCGAGCTGTATCACCCCCATTTTACAGATGAGGAAACCGAGGCACACAGGTTGAGTCATTCCACTGAAGTTACGCACCTGGATGTGGCGGAGCCAAGATTCCATCCACTCATCCATCACATTTAAATTCTGCTGAAAATATACATGTTTTTACTATAAAACAAATAATCTTTTACAACTTGTTTTAGACTGACAGAAAAATTGCAGGACTGTACCGAGAGTTCCCATCTAGCCCACACCGGGTCTCCCTTGTTGTTAAAGTCTTACACTGTTTTTGCTGTTGTGAGGTGCTGTCGAGTCAGTTCCGACTCATAGCGACCCCCTGTACAACAGAACGAAACGCTTCCCCGTCCTGCTCATTCTCACTTCATTGCTTGAGCCCACTGTTGTCAATCCATCTCATTGAAGGTCTTCCTCTTCTTTGCTGACCCTCTACTTTACCAAGCATGATGTCCTCCTCTAGGGACTGGTCCTTCCTGATAACATGTCCAAAGTATGTGAGACGAAGTCTCACCATCTTTGCTTCGAAGGAGCATTCTGGTTGTACTTCTTCCAAGACAGATTTGTTGGTTCTTCTGGCAGTCCATGGTGTATTCAATAATCTTCGCCAACTCCACAGTTCAAAGGCGTCAATTCTTCTTCAGTCTTCCTTATTCATTGCCCAGCTTTCCCGTGCATACGAAGCTATTGAAAACACCATGGCTTGGGTCAGGCACACCTTAGTCTTCAAGGTCACATCTTTGCTTTTAAACACTTTAAACAGGTCTTTTGCAGCAGATTTGCCCAATGCAATACGTTGTTTGATTTCCTGACTGCTGCTTCCATGGGTGTTGATTATGGATCCAGGTAAAATGAAATCCTTGACAACTTCAATCTTCTCTGTTTATCATGATGTTGCTTATTGGTCCAGTGGTGAGGATTTTTGTTTTCTTTATGTGGAGGTGTAATCCATACCGAAGGCTGTGGTCTTTGATCTTCATCAGTAAGTGCTTCAAGTCCTCTTCATTTTCAGCAAGCAAGGCTGTGTCATCTGCATATCGCAGGTTGTTAATGAGTCTTCCTCCAATCCTGATGCCCCGATCTTCTTCATATAGTCCAGCTTCTCGGATTATTTGCTCAGCAGATAGATTGAATAAGTATGGTGGTGAAAAGATACAACAAGGTCTTATATTAGTGTGGTCCATTTGTCACAACTAAAAACCAATATTTGGCATGTTATTATTAGCTAAACTCCATACAGTATTCTCAACAATCAAAGCCCATGGAAGCAGCAGTCAAGAAATCAAACAATGCATTGCACTGGACAAATCTGCTGCGAAAGAACTCTTGCAGCTGTTAAAAAGCAAAGATGTCATTTTTAGGACTAAGGTGCACCTGACCCAAGCCGTGGTATTTTCAATCACCTCATATGCATGTGAAAGCTGGACAATGAATAAGGAAGACAAAGAATTGATGCCTTTGAATTATGGTGTTGACGAAGAATATTGAATACGCCATGGACTGCCAGAAGAATGAACAGCTATCTTGGAAGAAGTACAGCCAGAAAGCTCATTAGCGAGGATGGCAAGGCTTAGGCTCACTTACTTTGATGGTTTTTTATTTTTTCTTCCGCTGGTAAAGAACCTGGAAATCCTGGTGGCGTAGTGGTTAACTGCTACGGCTGCTAAGCAAAGGGTCGGCAGTTGAAATCCACCAGGTGCTCCTTGGAAACTCTACGAGGCAGTTCAACTCCGTCCTATAGGGTTGCTATGAGTCGGAATTGACTCAAAGGCAACAGGTTTGATTTTTGGTTTTTAGTGAAGAACCTGGTTCCTAGTAAAATCAATGTATCAGCTACTTTTCTGAAACCGATAATACACACGATAGTTTCAGAATTGCTACACGCATACCGCTCCCAACGACAAACCTGCTAAATAGAGTTCACGATTTCTTTGTCGTTCTTTTTATTTTTCCACCCAGCACTTGCTTGAAATTTACGTGGGCTGGTTCTTTTTTTTTTTTTTCTTCGATGTGGTTATACTGTTCTCTTGGACTACAGTTCGGGTCATTTGTTTTCTACTTGTATTTCATTTTAAAGCATTTTTTCTCCATCCTTGTTGATTTAATTTTATATTTTTTGAGTATAGAAAACATTAACAAAGCTTTAAAAACTGTGTTGTTGTTGTTGTTGTCGGTTCCTATCAAGCCGATTGTGACTTGCGGTGACCCCGTGTGTGCAGACTAGACTGCTCCATAGGGTTTTCAAGGCTGCGATCTTTACGGAAGCAGCACTGGAGTCACTAGAGGGGTGCAGGGGGGTGCAGAGCACGCCGGGGGACACCGTCAGAGGGGACGACACCAAAATGACTGTCTATAAACTTTTTGTGCGGCCTTTCAGCCAAAATTTATTATTTTTTTATAAAAATATCTCTGTGGTTAGTGATAACAACAAAAACAGTTTTTGTAAGCCCAGTTGATGTGTCTCAGTATACCCACAAGGCTAAAACTTTATGCTAATTTACTTTTTGAACCTTCTAACGCACTCCGGTCAGCGCTGCCATGAGTACCCAATTACAATGACGCTTCAAATCACGTGGTTTCGTCTGCACGAGCTGCAAGCATGCGCTGTTGTTTTTGGTACTGTCAGCGTTTATATAGGCGCTGATTTTGTCAAATTTTCTGGTGTTTTAGCTACAGTATTGTGGTAATTAGTATTTGTGAACCTCTATCAATAGCTTTTTTAAGAATGAAGTAGTAATTAAAAGAAAAGAAGGAGTGATATATGGAATTACGATTTAAGAGTAATATTAGTACATAAAACATTAGTAAGGATTCTGTATGGTCTGGTACAGGAGGAGGTCCATAGGGGGGTGACACCATGAGTTACCGCACTGGGTGACACCAACCCTAGCGACACCACTGGGAAGCAGACTGCCAGACCTTTCTTCCATGGAGCCTCTGGGTGGGTTTGAACTGCCAACCTTCTGGCTAGTAGTCAAGCACTGAACCGTTGGTGCTGCCCAGGGGCTTCTTTGAAAACTACCCAAAGACTACTATACGATTCACTCAGAGAGCATCGTTCCTTTCTCTTTCCAGTTTCCATCTTACTTACCAATTCATTAGTTCCTGTAGCTAACCAATTTCATTAGTTCCTGGTTTATCTTTCCTGTTTCTTTTGCAAAATTAAGCAGATATGTGTGCATATTTTTTCTCCTTTATTACACAACAAGTAGCATACTGCATATACTTTTTTGCACTTTAAAAAAAAATGTAATACTAGGTCCTGGAAATCACACCATTCTGTTCATAGAGCAGTGCCCTCCCCTTTTCACAGCTGCGTAGTACTCCACCGTGGGCTCAGCATAGCTTATTCAGCCACTTTCCTGGGTATAGGCATTTGGGCATTTTCTGTTATTTTGCAATTACAAACCACACATCAATGAATGTTGTTAGGTGCCATCGAGTTGGTTCCGACCCATAGCGACCCCACGTACAACAGAACGAAACACTGCCTGGTCCTGCACCAAGCTCACAATCATGTTATGCTTGAGCCCATTGCTGCAGCCACTGTGTCAATCCATCTCGTTGAGGGTCTTCCTCTTTTTTGTTGACCCTTTACTTTACCAGGCATGATGTCCTTCTCCAGGGACTGATCCCTCCTGATAACATGTCCAAAGTATGTGAGACATAGTCTCACCATCCCTGCTTCCAAGGAGCATTCTGGCTGTACTTCTTCCAAGACATATTGGTTTGTTCGTCAATGAATAAGCCTCTGCATAAGAATTTTGTTAGAGCTGTATCTTCAGGGTAAATTCCTAGAAGGGGGACTACTTCTATAACATGGGGATAATTGTAGGATTAAATGAGAAGCGCTTGTCTGCTAACCAAAAGATTGGTGGTTCGAACCCACCCAGTGGCTTCAAAGGAGAAAGACCTGGCGATCTGCTTCCATAAAGATTACAGACTGGGAAACCCTATGGAGCAGTTCTACTCTGTCACATGGGGTTGCTATGAGTCGGAATCAACTCCAAAGCACCTAATAACAACAAATGTACGTAAGAGGCATTGGCGGTTCAGTGGTAGAACTCTTGTCCCCATGGGAGAAACTCAGGTTCAATTCCCAGCCAGTGTACCTCATGCGCAGCCACCACCCATCTGTCAGTGGGAGGCTTGCATGTTGCAAGCATGCTGAACAGGTTTTGGTGGAGCTTCCAGACTAAGAAGGACTAGGAAGAAAGTCCTGGCAATTGACTTCTGAAAATCAGCTAGTGAAAACCCTGTGGAGCACAATGATCCAACCTGCAACTGATCATGGGGCTGGCACGGGACTGGGCAAAGTTTTGTTCGGTTGTGCACGGGGCCGCCATGAGTAGGGGCCGACTCTCTGGCAGCTCACAACAACAACAACGCAGGTAAAGCCTCCCACCCAGGAGGCAGCAGTTCATGGGCGAGGTCAGTGCTGGACAGCTCTGCCTGCATTCCGATGACCTCTGCTTTCCCATCACATCTTACTTGAGACCTGAGTTTGCTGTCTGGGCCTGGGCTCAGGGCCTCAGCAGGGGATAGGGGAAAAGGATCAGGGCTTAGTCAGGATTGGGGCTCAGTCGGGATCAGGGCTTAGCCAAGGTCAGGGGCTCAGATGGGATCAGGGCTCAGTCGGGATCAGGGCTCAGTTGGGATCCGGGCTTAGCCAAGGTCAGAGGCGCATTTGGGATCGGGGCTCAGTCAGGATCAGGGCTTAGCCAAGGTCAGGGCTTCAGTTGGGACTGGGGCTCGGTTGGGATCAGGGCTCAGTCGGGATCAAATCTCAGTTGGGATAGGGGCTTAGCCAAGGTCAGGGGCTCAACTGGGACTGGGGCTCAGTCCAGGGTTAGTTCTATGCCCCTAATGGCATACCTATGTCTCTCTTCAGGATATCTGTGCCTCCATGGGATACCTGTGCCTTTCATGGGACACCTGTGCCTTTCATGGGACACCTGTACCTCATGGGACACCTGTGCCTTTCATGGGATACCTGTATTTTTCATGG